AATTGCCGAGAGCTATCGCGTCGAAGATTTCCCGATTAACAAGGCTAATCGGCGTTAAAACGGACAAAGAACCGATTCAGAGGCTGTCCAGCGTGAAGCAAGCGGAATCGAACGCGTCCAACGCCGCGACGCCTCGCGCGTTCGGGTTTAAAATTAACTTCCCCGAGGGTAGTCGGGGGTGCGCGCACAAAGGGCGCGAATTCTTCGTGAGAGGCCGTTCTTTTTCCTCGTTTTCCCTCTTTTTTGCCCGTTTCTCGGTTCGGTCGAACAAAAATCGCCACCACAAAGGGTCATTTAGACGGGAAACTCGGAGGAAGAATGGATAACTCGAATGACGACGGATTCAACGCGTCCCCCAAGGCGCGTCACCGGAAACGGCGCAATAAGGGGACGTTATTGCGCGATTTTCACACGAGACGTGGAAAGAGGAGGCTGTTCGTTTAGCTGGAAATTAGCCTTGCTTCATAGGTGCACTGAATCCGTTGAATTTGGTTTATTTACTCGTGTATACTCGTTTATTCGTTGGCAATCAGTAGCTCAATCTTAGTAAGCGAATTATATGGATTTATTGGAGACTATAGTATTTGATGAATTTATTTTATTTATTTCATTTTTTGACGAACAATCTCGATTATGTTACGTTAATTATACAGATTTGTTGAAGACCATGATATTTATAGAATTAGTTTTATTTATTGACCGAGAGTAGCTCAATCATAGTAAGTGAATTACATAGGTTTGTCGAAGACCATGATATTTGGCGAATTTATTTTATTTATTTCATTTTTTGATGAACAATCTTGATTATATTATGTTAATTATACAGACTACGGTATTTGTAAAATTAGTTTTATTTATTGACCGAGAGTAGCTCAATCATAGTAAGTGAATTACATGGATTTGTTGAAGACCATGATATTTGGCGAATTTATTTTATTTATTTCATTTTTTGATGAACAGTCTCGATTATATTATGTTAATTATACAGACCACGGTATTTGTAAAATTTGTTTTATTTATTGACCGAGAGTAGCTCAATCATAGTAAGTGAATTACATGGATTTGTTGAAGACCATGATATTTGGCGAATTTATTTTATTTATTTCATTTTTTGTTGAACCATAATTCGATTATATTAAGTTAATTATATAAATTTGTTGAAGACCGTGGTATTCACCATATTTATTTTATTTATTTATTTTTTCGTAGATGGTCAGTAACTCAATTATATATTATATAAATTACGCAGATTTATTTAGGACCACGATATTCTTTTATTTATTTTTATTTATTCTTTTATTTACTGGTGGATAGCATCTCAATTATATTAAGTACGTTATATACGCAGATTTGTTAAAACGGGTGTTCCATTTCAAAAAGTGGTTTACGAAAAATAAAGCGTTGCAGACATTTTAATATTTCAGTCTATTTTACAGTATTCAGTATGTTTGTATTTTATAATTAACTAGAAAACAGATTGTACTCTTTATAACAGCTCTCCATTGAATTTTTCCTAGTACCAACTTATATGGGGCACTCTGTATAGTAAACGACCTCAAAACTGTTCCTCTGGTTTCGTTATATGAATTAACAATGCTTTATTAATAAATTTGTTGAATTATTTCTTTTCCTGAATTTACGAGTCTCTCTTTTAATTTATGATAATATGAAGTAAAAAAGCTTCGTTTACATACATTAATAATATACCTATGTACATATACATTTCAAACACATATTGACCTTGGAATTGTTAGTCGTGGATATTGTGTTTAAATGAAAATATTAAATATTTATTGAACAATATTACAACACAGGGTAAAATTGTCGATGAAATATATCGAATTGGGTTTGCTCTTTCTCACGATAATCGTACACAGGTTTACTCTTTACACATTCTCTTTTCTTTCATACATTGCATAATTATCCACAACCTATACCACACTTCATTCATTTCACGCATACTCGATCCACTCGTTCTTTCTTAAAGACATCATTTATTTTATATTTATTTTATATTATTTTTTAATATATATATTAAAAATCTATATCAAACATGACCACAGGAATAACCTCGAAATAATAGACGCAAATTTCCTTCCATCACATATTGAAACTCTCCACAAAAAATTATGAAAAAGATAAAAATCTCTGTGCATTTTGTCTCATCACCCACTGGTTCGTATCAAGCGACACTCACCACGAGACACCCTGTATATCGTTTTAACCCTTTGCACTCGAGAGGCAACTCTCAGTCGCCATTTAATCAGATTCTGAAGATCGATGTTAATTAATGTATCAAATTTAAAATTACCCAACTATGCGTGCATTGTCAAAGTAAAATAATTCTGCATCTTAATTTGCATACGATTTCTTATTTACTATTTTAAAAATATCATCAATTTTATAGCAGAGTCTTCGAATTACTATTTTTCTGCAACGAAAAAATTGCCGAATATAAAGGGTTAAAATCGGGTAATTACACATATTTCAATGATTTTTGATGTCACAAAATTAAATAGTTTGAACAATTGCTTCCCACACATACAACCATCTCTCCATCTCAAAATTTAACCAAAATTTTAAATTTAATTCCAAAATTTAGCCAAAAAGGTGCCTTCACAATCTACCTCTTTCTATCTAATTACCCAAAACCGTTCCAATTAATAAAAATACACAAAACAAAAGACACAACGATGGTGCATGCACACATTGCCCGAGGTTCGCGAGAAATTCTCATATCACGCGAATTCGAACAAAGCGTAACGCGATAACCGCGTTATCCTGTAGTCCATGGTATCCTTTCCACTCTCGTTCCTTTCCACTGGAGAAATGAAGCCCGTGGAAGCAGTGGGTTCAACGATGGCGGAGGGAAGCGAATGGCGGGTCGGTGGCCGGTTTAATCTCACGCGAGGGAGCAGCGCGAAATGATGAACAAGCGGGAAAATCCTTCGGAGAAGCGTCCACTTCCGCGAGGACGAGGTTACCACACGGAACGAATCATTAAATCTTTCCAGAGGGAGACAAGATTGTCGCGCGATCGCGCTTCCGCAAGAAACGCTGACCCACATCCGGGACAACGGATCCTGCGAGACCTGTCCTTCCGATTGCCCGGTTTTATCCCTCAGCACCGACCAAGGTGTCGCTTTCTTGCCTCTGCAGCGAGTCCTTCGCGTTTAATTCCCCGTGTACACCTCCGTTTACTTCTTCCCTTCTCGAATCTCCTTGCTATCCCTTCTCCCCGTCCCTTCTACTTCACCCTATTCCTGTCTGGGAGCCTTCTTTGGTCGTCGCGAACGACTCAAACGTGGAACAGACGGGAAGTTCGTGATGGTTACTCCGGATCGCGAAGGTAGGAAGCAAGTGGGATGGATTAATGAAAGTTTTATGACGAGCCTAGCGTAGAACGGTCGTAAAATGATTAAAGTTTCGTTAAAGGTTGCCAGGCTGGGCCAGACGGGAGGTCTATCCTCTGGGATTAAATGGCGTGCAGCTGTTCCAAACGTTTAACTGGGTATCGGCGGTAATGGGGCAAAGTAAGAGCGTAAATAGCGAGCAACGGGCGGCAGTTGCATAATTTGTCTGGAATTTTATAAAGAGACCGTTCTGCTTTACAGTCGTTCCCATCGGTAGTTAACTCTTTCGAGATTTCCTGCCTGGCGTTCCAGCCTGCCACGCTGATGGCGGGAATAATTGATGCGGGAAACGGTGTGTTAGCTTTACCTTGAAACAAACTTCGAGCAGGAAAAATTGCAGTCGGGGCAGCCGCGGCAACCTTTGAGAGACTAAGTGGGAATTATCGTCGGGAAAAATCGATCGGACGCGATACACGTCCTCGTGAGGACGCCCCGTGACGGGGAACCGTGATTTACGACGCTGCAACTACTCGCCAATTACGTGGGAAACGGGAAAACGCGTAAATTATTCGGGAGTAGCGGAAGAATGAAGCGAACGGAGGTATCCGCGTCCGAAACACCGGCCGCGCTGCGTTCTTTGCGCCGAGCTTCTGAAATCCGCCGCGCGATGTCGCCGTTGATTTACGGCCCCGCCCGGTTGTAAGAAATTGCCCGACAAATGGCAACTTTGCGCTCGTGGGAACGCAAAAAGCTTCGAAAGTACATACCTTTTCACCCTTGCCCTTGGCTGTGGTTCAATACGATTGTGGTCGAAGACTTCTTGCCTGTAATCCGCCGCTTTAAATCGCGCTATTTCGAAGGAGCGATGTAATTTCACCGCGAAATATCGAGTTTTCCGTCGTATTAGCTTTTTGTTAATATCAATTTGATTTATTCGCTAGTCTCTCGCGAGTACTCGGTTTTCAAACTTAATAAAATGTCACAGAAAACGAGAATTCGAAATTTAATCGTTAATCATTTATTTTGACTGCAAATACACTTGGTCTTTTTATATTTACTAGATTCATTAGGTTATGTTTATTACATTAGAATTACTTTAATCCAACATACTTATCAGACACGTAACCAGTTTGATACTTTTGTCAATTGGAGTGCAACTAAAGTGAAGACTGGGCACGATGCAACGTCACGTGACTAAACACGCGATATACAGATGGCAGCACCCTTGTAACGACGGTAGATAGATCATGCATACATCACGTATGATACACACAAGAGTGTCTTGCCTGTACACTATTCTAGATGCTTTATCTCATAAACGAATACACGAAGCATACCCAACGATGTCATAGACAACGAACGTGTTAGAGTTCAGAAAGCAGCACCATCCAAATCCCATGACAAATATAAATATCACGTGTGATTTATAGCTCATGTAACCTACCTTATCCGTAGTACACCGGTGTAAATAGTTTCCTAACACCATATATAGCACACGTATAAATAAATCCCAAACGAACCCTAGACTCCCTATCCTAACTAAAATTCACTTTACATCGTGTTTCAACTTTCAAATAGATCCACTCGCGTTATAATTTGTACGAAATCTAGTAGACTGATACAAATTAATGGAATTTATGTGCACAGGCACCAGTTCTTGGAAGGAACAATTCACGGAGGCCCTAACCGTGAGCGGCGGTGACGAGGACGACGGCGATGGCGGCGAACCAGCTGCGCCATCTACCCTAGACTACCTAATGCACGGCGTGACGATATTCTGGAAGGTGTTGTTCGCGTTCGTCCCACCGACGGGTAAGTCTTCGCGATATCGAACTGCTCTAAAGCGTACTCTTTCCTTGCTTGCCAGGCAAGGAACGGGTCAGAGGGTGGACTCCTCTGCATCTGGCACGCGTAAGTTATGTTTGTCAACAGCGTTCCGCTTATGCCGCGAGGTAGTGCTGAAATATTTTCCCCATCTCTCGCCATAAATGGAAAGCTACGACCTTGTTTATGCCCGAGCCGAATCGAATGGAGGACACGAATAAGAGATTCCGACGAGCGAATTAAGCCGCGGAAGTCTTCCAATCTTGCCGATCTCTTATCTCCGATCTGTTCGATCGTCATCGCGTAATTGGCGCGATTAACGGGGTAAATTGGAAAATCGCGGCAATTTCTGCGCGATGGCGGAGGTGGGTAGCTCCGCGCGAGGTTACTCGCGTCGTAAAAGCTGCGGGTAGGAAGATATTTCGACGGATCGTTCGACGGAACAACCGCGAGAACTGCTCCGACCGATCTTTCATTGTCCCGCGGAAGAATCCTCGCGATTCTGCCGGAGGCAGGCGGTAAGTACCGCTGCACATTTCTCTCGCGAGATCTTCCCGCGGGTTTTACTGCGGACAGGTAGTGAGTTACTGGCACGTGTAGAGCACCGGCAGCGTTCAACGTAACGGTGAGAAGACTTTTATTGCGGGAACGGCTCCCTCAGGAAATGGAAATCGAGGCTTCCCCGTGGGCCGTGTTTGTCCTTTAAATTCCTGCCAAGCTACGGCTTTTCCTTCCCGATGTTTCCTTCGCGTCTTCCAAGAAATCGTGTATCTGTTTCAGCTTCGTTAGCAATTGTTTGCGATGTGGTTCGACGTTGGTTAGGTTCGTGTATCTGAGAATTCAGCAGCGAGGCAATGGTTTATCGTTTTAGTGGTAGAGGTTATTGGAAATGGGGTGAGAGACATGGTTGCTCTTCTTTTATTGGTTTACGGGAAATTCCTGATGGTATTGGGATTGGTTTGGATCACTATATGCAATTGACGGTGCATTCAGCACCTGTCACGATGAATTCTTAACGTTACCGATACTTACCGGCTGAGAAACTGCACCAAATTATTCGTTATTGATTCGAGTTAATATATAGAGTGTCCCAACAACGGTGATACAATCGGTAGGAGGTGATTCTATATGAAAAAGCAGATCGAAAATGAAGAATAACATTTTTTCATTCGAAGCTTCGTTGTGGAGGAAATCGACTTTGAATATTCACCGAGTACGCGTGCACTTAAGTTTGGTTTACAAAGATGGCGGACCGTCAGTATATCAGCGCGCTCGGTGTGTATTCAAAGTCGATTTTCTCCACAACGAAGCTTCGAATGCAAAAATTTTATTCTTCATTTTTTATTTGCTTTTTCACGTAGAATCACCTCCTTCTCGGTTGCACAATCGTTGCTAGTACATCCTGTATAATTTTGCCTGGTAAGGAAAGGGTATCACGTGTTTGGAAAATATTGGGGTTGACTCCTGAGTCATTAATGGATTTTGACTGCATTTTAGTCACAAGGTAGTCTCTACAACTGCATTGCTCCTCGTCGCACTTACCAAACAATTAAATCCCAGTATTACAAAGCACACTGTATACCAGGATCTAGAACGCTAATTACACATGGCGAGCTGATAAAGAGGCTCTCTTCGGCGCGAAATGCGAACAGCGCGATGGCGCTACGTGGCCACTCGAACGGCTAAGCCAAGGATTACGAGGAAGATCAAGGGTTGATTAAAAGTTGCCCATCGTTCGCCTCGAGTACCAGTTACATCGAGCTCCGGATTCGAACAATGAATGAAAACGATCCCGCGTTACACTCTGTCACGTCTCGCGTTCATAGGAGTCCTTCTGCCAGCGAGTTTCATCGAAATACGCCTTTCGTTTCGCGAAGAAGCGCGCTTATTTTATTCCTGGGAGCCTAAAGAACCGTGGTTAGGTAGAGGGACAGAAGGAAGCTTGGCAGATGTTTACGCGCCTCTAATATCGAAGGGTGAGTTTGCTCGGAGAAAACAGCGGCTTGCTTCTGCTAAGAACGACTAAGAAGGACTAAGAAAGATTTTCAGGGGCGTTTGTGTCCTCTTCCACCGGAAATCGACAGTTTGCTCCTGCTGGTTATAGTTAAAGGTTCAGTTACAGTGGTGGATGAAAGGAAGTTACGCAGTATAAAGGAAGGTTTTAATTTTAGGAGGCGGAATTAGGTTTTATAACGGCAAGAAGTTTTGCAGAAATGTAATTACTTTCATTATGATACTGTTGTTAGTATAAAAGTTGGAGTTAGGTTTAAACTCCCTTTTGTCCGAAGGATAAGGTTATAGAACAGTGTTTTTGAACCGATGTAACGTTAACGCTTCCACGAGTAGGGTCCGGCAGTCTTAAGACGATGTTGCGTATAACTCACTAGCGCCACCACGGCTCATATCTCATATCGGTAAAGGTTTCTCGTAAGTAGCGTACATATTATTGAATTATTTTTTGATTTTAATGATGTCAGTCTCCAAAATGACAGTAAAATAAATATTCATAAAAAAAGTATTAATATTCAAAAATATTTCTCTATACCAGTGTTCAAAAATACTTTCATTCTGAACAGTTTATTCGATCAAATTTCGTAAATTTGTATATCTGTCTTAATTACATTTTTAACGCATTCCAGTGGGATGTTTCCCTCAAATAAATAAATAAAATAACTGTTTAAATGTTAACGTCACGAATACTCGTCGATCGATCGTGATACCACTCATTTCGGAAATTCCACGAAATTTCGACGAACGCGCGATAAAAACACATCACGACTCTCTAACACGTATAATTTCCATTGAAATGGCGGCGATAGCGTTACTTAAAACCGCGAAATTAATTACCGCCTCCACTTTAGCTACTAAATGGCGGATAAACTATCGCGAAACCGGCGCTTTACGATTGCGCTATACAATATGGAGCAGGCATTCGATTAATTTCCGCGAAAGGCTGTGTTTTTTTCATTTTTAAAGGAAACCGAGCGAAACGGAATCGTTAACGCGTGGACGCGATTTTCTCTTTTACGCGGGAAATAAAACTCGTCGGCGCTCGGCGATCTCGGCTGCAAAGGGTGGCGTAAATGCAGTCGAATAAACAGGGTTCGACGTATTGTCGAAACATTGTTGGTGGAAATAATAAACGCGACGGACGATTTTATGATTTTTCCTACGGTGTAACAATTTTATAATTCGTTTCGTTCGTCGAAATGTCGCGACAAAAGCGCAAACGGGGCGGCATGCAGAGTGCAATTAATTTGCCGAAATCTCGATTTTCCGCTAATACTTGTATGGGTGAAATAAATTTTATATAAATTTGGGATTAAGCGTTGTCGATACTTTATGCGTATTTTATTGATACTTATCTTAGAGATATATCGATAATATCGTCGAGATGTCGTTAGAGAGTAGGTTACGTATGATAGAAATTGTTTTGCCAGCTTTGATTGAAATAAATATAACGCTTAATGACTTCTTTTTAAACGTAAATATATATTTGTAAATGATATATATATCTACTATTATTATTATTATTATTATCATGTTATTTCTCTCCCTTCCCGAGTTTCTCCAGCAGCTAATAATAATAATTATTATTATTATATTGTTATTTTCTTGTTA